TGTGGTCTAGTCGTCTACCGAACCCGGTATAACGTATAAACTAGACCCTAAGTAAGTGATGAAATGTCAAGACTTTTTATCACTTTCTTGAAGTTTTTTCCACGTCTAATTTCAAGAAAACACATTTCATTTACATTAGATTCTACAGAGTATCTTTATATTAATTTCAGTGTCCTTCGTATAGTCACCACAAACGTTCATTAACTCCTTGTCTACTGCGTTAATCAGTGTTAGAAATCATTGTCATTTTTAAAAAAATAAAACCTCGCTTGACCAATGACCATTACGGTCGATACTTTGGTGAATGGTCCTAAATAAACCTTAACTAGTAATGCATAACGCCAAGTTCATTTTTTTACAGGCAGCAATACAAATAAACTGACAAGCGTAACAACACCGATTTGAATTGTGAATGAACGAAATAATTGAGTCATTGGACAGGGAGAAATGGTCATTTTTTTTATAAAGTTATCTCCCTTTATGCTGCACATACGGTTAATAACACGGATTTACGTGTAATAGAGCGGAAAACTTTCAAACATATACAAATCAAATGTATAACAAACCACACAAACCTATGAAGTTGATAAATAAAAGTCACTTTAAAAGACTCATACATCTGTTTCACCAAAACGCTGTTCCGAAACAAGAATTCAGTGACGTTGATCAGAAACAAGGCCCGTAATTTAGGCATGTATACAAGACTTTCCGTTGGTCCAAAATAGTTTTCCTCGACTCTGTTTCATCCATGGTCCCATTATCGGTGGTATAAAAGTTGTATATGTACGCAGGCACTTACTTCAAATCTAATTAACTCAATCAAAGAATTGTCATGTTATGGCATTGATTGTCGTTATGAATGACAAAGCTTTAAAGTCAAGTCTACACCTTAATATTATTGTAGTAATATGTTCTTTTGTTTTTTCATCTACAGAAACGCTCCTCTTCCAATAATATGAATTCCCGAATGACTGTTGTTAGCTCTTGTGTTTCACACCTCTAAGTGCCAACACAGGAATTACGTTCTCTTCATTTTTTAGAAAACGGTAAACACAATGAAATAGTTAATTTCCTTAATGCAATCATTAATACTTTGATATCGGAATACTTAAGTTCTTTTGCTCACTGGAAAGTCTGCAGGCGTCTCAATTTTTTTAGAAATTTATTTCATGTTTTCCCTTCTCCTCATTTTCTTTTTTTTTTGTTTATTCATCTTTTTTCTTTCTCTCTTTTTTATCGATATCCCCCACCCTCAAACGTTGGTTTGTAGAGTCCAAGGCCCAGTCCATTGTAATATATTAAGCACAGAACTGACCTTGGTCCATTTGCAGACGACTTCCGTTATACAATCTCAATCTGACGTTACGTTAGAGAATTCAAGTATTGCGAGCCAGTCTTTCTCACAACTCGTCCGCTGAAAGGCCGAAAGACCGTAATAGTGGACATCAACATCAATTTATTTCAACAAGCTGGTCATTCTTCGAGCAGAAATGTTGAACCAGTTAAACAACATCATTTAAAAAAGTGAGCAACACTAAGCAATGGACTTTCAACATGTCCAACGGTTCCTCACGTGATTGACCTTGGTGTTGTCATAGATACGACATCTGACGTTGGAGAAGTTGTACCCATAACCTCATTATGAACTGAATGTTATACATATATTAACTGAAGCAGAACGTAAATGACAGAAGACAAACCCAAACCCCACCGCCGGAAGTCCAGACACCTCAACACAAGATCAATTTCAGACCAGGGAGTCATCTCCAACCCATGAGGGGAGCACCCCCTTCACGTCGCCAGACAATCGACACACGTCGATTGGAGTCAAGGAGACGAAAACCCATCACCATCATCATCATCATCACCGTAGAACGTAAATGTTTCAGATAAAACTTGGGCGTGGTAAATATCTATGTAGGTGTCATTACCGGGTTGTGGGTGTCGCAATCATAACGAAGGCATAGTGGTCAGACTAAAAGATGCACGTATGTATGTGTATTATAGCTTTCTTCCATGACAGTGTTTGTAAATCGCTTTTCTGTCTCTAAATATTAAAGGAAGACGCTTGCTACGATAAGTTAGTGGTTGTTGACACTCAGAGTGGGCCAATCAGCAATTTTGATGGTCAATACATTTCCAATTAGCGAAAGCCTCTTCCTAATATTTTAATAATGGCAGTTAATGGCCTGTCTGTCTGTCTGTCTGTTCTTACAAGACTGTCTGTCTGTCTGCTCTTACAAGACTGTCTGTCTGTCTGTATATATGTATGCCTGTATGTATGGTCTGTGTTTTGTCTGCTACTGTATCAATATGTCAAAGAAAAAAGCTTTCTGTAGAAACTTCGTGATCACTGACACTCCGTATAGTATATGTTAACTATTTTGTCAGAACATTTGCCATTTGACTAAATCTCTTTCTGTTTGTTACTTAGTCAAGTGGGCAATGTTTGTGTCTATCGATTTCGTTACATGGTACTTTTGATGAGTTGTATGTGAGACGGACGATACATATATTAAATCTCTATTCCGCGGTATGTTCTTCTGTCGATATATAAGACAGTGCTAAACATCAAATGTGCCTGTCCGTCCGTCTTTACCAGTTGAGTAGATATTTTGTACTTCGTTCGGAGTGTAGATTAATGAAGTATTAATTTACCACGTAAAGTAATCATTTGGGGTGTGAGAGTTGTTCTGGTTTATTGAAATATATTGAATTTATATAACCCAGTTTGTCTTCGATTGTCATGCTTCATTTACTACGAAATTGTAAGGGCCTTGTGCACAAAAAGGATCAGCAAACCTGAGTCAGGTTTTATAGCTGGGAAACCACTTTCACACTTGCAAATTATGGTCAGTTTTAGAGGGGGCGCGCGCACCTCTGGGTCCGCCTATATGTATTCAGCTTGTTGAGATTTTCTTTTTGGAACGTTTGAAAAATTCCCATCTCATCAAAATAAATCGAATGCCAGTACTATATTGGGTCGTTACTGTAATCAGATATTTTAATTTGTCCCAAGGCGGACATCAGGAGTTATTTCCCTTACGTTCCGAATGCATAAAAAGTGACTCGTCGAGCTACGATCAAACTTCAATATATTGTTAAAATTTCTATTTACGTTTATAAGAAGTTAATTAATTTTCAAAATAGTCTTTTAGAGTGTGAATTATAGGAAAAGACGGTTTGTCAATTTTGTTAAAATATTTAAGTAGCAGGATGTAATACTGATAGTTATGTATATAAAATTATTGATCCTAACTAACGGTAGAAGATAATTTGAAAGGTAGGTACTCCCGCCCAGTTAGTACCTACCAATAAAAAAACAAAAAGTAAAAAAATAAAAAGAACACCATGTTTTGAAGAAAGAAATGACTAATTTGAGAAGCGGCAGTTTGCAACACACTGACCAATTAATTTTAATTTATATCTAGCCAACTTAAAAGTGATGAAGGTGGTAATAATCATTTAATAATTTTGTGCAATATTAAAAGTGAACCGTATGTAATTGTTCCATATAAGTATTTAGGCATAGATCTACGTCCTTATATTTAGAGAAATCTGTAAATGGATGCCATATGAATATATCCTACCCACTGTCGTAGTCAGGACATCCTCGATACTCCAGGCGTTACAATTATCGTCATCCCTAGAGTATCGAGGATGAAGTCAATAATTACCCCATAATCTTCGTGAATGACATTCTATTTAAATTCTATATCATCTACTTTATTGTCAACACGTCAACTTTTTATCCGGAATAGAATGCCGAATAGTATTTGGAGTGGTGAAACATGAAATCTTAAACATATTGAATTCTTTTTAAAGGGAATTTTATTTCTATCTGTCAAATGAATTATTTTAATTGGGGTTATTTATCCATCATTAGCCGTGGTCATGTATTTGTTATATTTGAAACAGGTCTTATAGAAATGATTTTTCGTATATTTTGTATGGTGTACTGTGGAACTCAATTAAAGATGGACGCTTAAATATGTGAGAATTTAAAAAGTTCGGAGTCTTTGTTATGCGTTTTATTAATTTAATGTCGCATATCACGTGTGAGGGATTGAGAATGTAAAATGGTTGCTGTTTGGACTTCTTCAAACTTTCACTGTTTTGCCCAGTCTTCAATCTTCTCACAATATCCAATTCTTTCGATTGACTTACTCATTGTGTGACGGGTGAGGGCTTTAGATCAGTTTCCAATTCCTTCGATTGACTAACTCATTGTGTGACGGGTGAGGGCTTTAGATCAGTTTCCAATTCCTTCGATTGACTAACTCATTGTGTGACGGGTGAGGGCTTTAGATCATTTCCAATCTATTTACTTTGTGCGATAAAAACAATTCTGTTTAAATCAAACGTATAATTGACGAAGATCCGTCGCCGTAATCTATTACCTATGTATTTTGTTTCTGTTGTTTGGTTTGAAAATCTGAGATGGCAAACATCTATGATGTCTATGAAAAATTTTGTAAACATCACAATTAGTAAGTACGATCAATTATCGGTAGGTAATTGTGATCTAATTAAATAGCCTAAATCTATGTTAGGCCTATCTTTTTGGTCTGTAGGAGATTCGTGTTTTTAACTTGTTTTACGTGATTGTTAGTCCTCATCTACATTGTCAGTTCGTAAACAGTGTAACACCACTCTCCTATATATTGTTCCGCATCCCTCTGTTCATTAAGGACTCGACAAGTCTACACCTAGGATGTCTGCGTGCTTTCGCCTGTCAAGACAACGGCCTACTGTATACGTTACCTGTTGGTCGGGTTCTGGTGTAACAGTTAAGTAGTCTCGTAGTTTTTCCTAACACGAGTCCTTAGTTTTTAGCGTAAATCAATCAATTTTAAAAATTCCCTCCTTTTTAACGCTATCTGCTGACCTACTTATTAACATAGCAGATCCGCATTGCCTTGTGTGTGACGTCAATGCTCGACACCCCCTCTAGGGCAGCTCCTTTCGCCGAAACGTATAAAAGCTCGGCAGTGGCGGCGAAGTGTGGCTTTCTCGGCCCCCGACGGTAGAAGAGAATATCGTTATTTGGAAATTCTGCCATCACTCTTTTGTTTAGATGGCGACTCCTAACCCAGTGGTGAGTTTATAAAACAGCTGTACTAGTAATATTTCACACAAGTCTGTAATGAATCAAAATCAGACGATTTTAATTTTCTCCCGGCTACTGCGAGTGATGGTGAGAAGACTGATCTGTGTGGTATATGCAGTCTAGGCATTTCTACGTACAATAGTAAGCCTGGTACTGTCGCGACGTATATTATACCTCACACCGCTTTCTGACCTTGTTTAGAAATATCCTTTTGTGTGTTTTCGCATCTGTGTTATCTGAGCTAATCTTAAAACGTCCATCACTTATTGTGTCAACATGTCTGTGTAACAATAACACTAACTGTACAGCACTGTAGTATCGAAAATACCTTGTAGTAATCACTTTTGTAATGGCCACCTGGTTGTAGCATGGGGATTGGCCAATTTCTACAGTCTGAAGAAAGCAATATTAGTCAGTTCAGCTTAATACAAATACACAGATGAAATCAATCCACAATTTACTTTCACGAGTCTACTGAATTTTCCAATTTTATTGCTTAAATCAATGAGTACCTCAAAGTAAAATTTAAGTCTTTTCAGAAATTAGGAGTCCCGACAAAATTCTATGGACTCCAAACTCGCATCTAGATTTATCACTGTTTAATTCTGTAATGTAGAAATACAGATTTAATCCTCAAATATTTCAAGATGATGTGAAGGCTGACTTAGTGTCATGTTAAAATAATTTTTTTTTTCAGTTTGGTTTTTTAATTTGATATCCGGGATGTCATACCGGGCACTATTTAAGTTTGGGTACATGACATTTTAAAAATCAACAATACTATATTTATCGAGAAATAAATACATCCCTATCTATTCTGTTCAGTATCTCCCATCCCATTCACTGATATCAGGTTATGTATTAATATATTTGGTAGCTACTGCCTTGCCCAATACTGCAGCTGCCACGCAGTTGGCGTAAAAAAACAAGTTTGAAAGAAAACATTATCAATATGATGCGTTTAGTTGGAGACCTAACTCCACATCAAAAGTATGAAAAATATTGATGACCAAAGCACAGATAGATTGCATAGACCAGTGCCATAATATGTACCAGTAATATAAACCAGTTCTGTCTCTTAGAGGGAAAAATGTCACCTGGTGGACTTAGGGAATTTTCTGTGCCGTAATGATTTGAAAATTGATGGCAAGATAAGGGATGTCAGTTACTGGATGTTAAGTTCTCATGTGAAAAAATCCTGCTTTTAGAGATTTGGGGACTTCATTAGGAAAAATAAACAACATCCACAACCTAAATGCAGTCCCTAATATTTGAACTTAAAAAACAAGTGTCAAGTATGCTTTCCATTGAATGTGTATTTTTAGAATGATCAACTTGTGACCATTTTCTCGAATGAAAGACCAACATGATTTTTATTCATGTAACTGGCTGCAGTCACCAACTTCACGTGTGGTTTCACTTTGAGAACCACCAGCAGCAAATATTTTTTCATTGTCCAATAAAATTGATCCTTTAATTTCATAAATTCGACATTTTTTCATAGACACATACGCATCTAAGTGGACTGAAGAAAGTTTCATGCCATGAAACAGAAAGTGAAACATTAACTGTTCACCAGAATTAGATTATAATTACTTTAGAAGTCCTGGTGTTTGCCATACATGTTAACTTGTGTTAATACTCAACATTTGTACTTGAGAACGGTTGTTGCTGGTCTTTTGTATGACATAAGGATAGTACAACATAGAGGGGTAACAGACACATACACATCTAAGTGAACTGAAGAAAGTTTCAGGAGAAAGTGTCCAATCAGAAGTTTGAAGCAGGAACTTAGCCCCCCCCTGCAGTCTATGATCCACATTGAGATTAAGAAATAATAATTATACTTTCATTACACATCTTCCCCTCTCCTCTCTCTTCCCTTCAAATTTTATGGGTTTGGATGTTCACATAGAAAATGACAAAGCAAGAGATGAAATAATGGTTGATCTGCGTCATTGATCTGACATAATTACACGTCACCAGCATTACTCAACAAATTGATGTTAGATGGGGATTGATCTTTCCTGTGTTTTTCTTGTGTTTGAGTAATTGTCATATTATTCTGCTTACTGTGTTTTGCCCAAGAGTTAACTTACAACACCAAATTTAGAACAATTTACAGACACTTGTGATAACAAGAAACGTGTATAGAAAACGGTTTATATATTGGATGTTTATTGTTGATAGTTTAGTCTTATATCTGAAAGGAATTGAACTTTTATGGCAGGGTTTTCCATAATTTTGTTAGTAGTAGGTTGTGTAGTGAAAGTAGGAGGCTGGCCTGCTGTTAACGTGTAGTCGTGTACGGAACATTATTACGGAACTGGATTGGTGTAGGCAGCCAAATGATCGAAGTAGCCGGTCAAATTGGCCGGCTCCCGGCTCTTAAGAAAAACCCTGTATGGCACTGAAAAGTTCAAAATATATTGGAATTATGTGCATGTATGGTTTGATGTTGAAAGTTTTTGATCGCATGATGAATTTTTTTGTGTGTCCTAAGAGCTGCCCATTGTAGATGTCAAAACTGATACACATATATGAGTTTCTTTATTACATCATTTAAAGTAAATTTATCAGTATCACAGAACTAATCAGTTTGTAATTGATATTTTTTTCAGGGAAGTGTTTACAGATCTGTAGTAGATGATGTGATATCCAATGTTCGTGAGGCATTCCTTGATGAGGGAGTGGATGAACAAGTTCTCCAAGAGCTAAAACAGGTAAGGGAAGACACCGCCAATTCTAAGTTTAACTTTAAAGGATGAAAATTTGAATCTTGAAATATTTTGCTTCTTGGAACATGTTTTACAAACAACTAATTTTGCTCTTTTTTTTGTTAAATATAACAAAGAAAGAAAAGATTATATGAGTAGAATTATTTTTATTTGTCTGTATTTTGCTCGTCGTTGATTTAGAATTTGAATATGCAAACTGTATAATCTGTTGATCAAAGATTAAATTTTGAATTATATAAACAGTTTTATGCAATTCTAATTTTTGCAGCTATGGGAGAACAAGCTTACACAGACCCGGGCTCTGGATGCAGCACCAGAACCTCAGGAGCCAGTCTCCTTACCAGCCACCATCCAGTATGCCCAGTTTACACCTCAGCAAACAGCTATTGCGCAACCTGCAGGTAATTTTGCCAAAAAAAAAATTTTAATGTATCATATTAAGCACTTGCGACATGGGAAGTATGTTTTTTTGAGGCATATTCTCTGCAGAAAATTCAATGAAGATTTCTTTCAACACACTAGTAAGATCTCTTTTAGTTTCCAGGTATGTAAGTAAACTTTTTATTTATTGTCTGTGAATCATGGGGAAACAACTCGGAGTTGACAGTAATTTTGTGTAACGTTACAGGTTTTTAGATATATTCTTTAAAAAGATTGCCCCGATATTGACACATTGTGCGATAAGAAATGCCAAAATTATGGATTATCAGCAACAACATTTTTCTTATGGGTTAGATGTGTTGCTGATATATCGGTGCGACTTATATGAGGACAAAAAAAAAATTGCTAGAATGAGAAGAAAAAATATAGAGGGGTCTTTGGTCAGATGTGCAGTATACATATAGACGAGAGAGAAAATCAGCAGACTGGAGGCCAAAAAGAAAAATTTGCAATGTACCAGTACTGCATTTTTATGAATACCTGCCCACCACATGTTTGTGACTAACACAGATCCTGTAGAATTCTCACTTGTAAAAATAGTTTAGTAGTTGATGTTCACAATTTTTTTTTCAGAAAAGTATATTATGGTTTTGAAATCATTTTTTACAGTGAGACCAGCAGGGATGGCCCAGACTGTCCCTGTACCTGTACAAATAGCTGCTGGAAACCAAGGACAGGAGATTGTAAGTTTTTGGACAAGATGATTTCAGTTGAATTATGTTCATTGCTGATCCCTAAGTCTGACAGAAAAATATATCAAGGTTTAGGAGATTTCTGTTGCTGGTATCTTTTATAGACTGCTGTAGTACTTAACCCTTTATCTCAGTGCTGTGTGACTTTTACGGGACTTAAAGATGCTCAATAATTGTTTTTCAACTATAAAAACAGTTCAGATATTTTTTTTTTAACTTTTGAAGAATTATGCTCTACAATACCTCAAGGAATTTATTCAAATGCATTAAATGTTTGGTGTACAAAAATTGTTATAATTGTTTCCTCCCAACAACCAGATTTCTAAACAATGTAACCAGTGAAAACGAAGAATACTGACAATTAAAACTATTTCAGAGTGCATCAGCTGCTGCAGCTGCAATGGCCTTGCCAACAGGACTGTTCCATCAACAGTTACAGACATTGGCTGCTCAGGGCCTGACTCTCCATCCAACAGGTACATTCTTGTAAACTTTCTATATAGTGGGTCAATTTCTAGAAATCTTTATCAACAAACACATCTGTAATTCTAAAAAAAACTGCATGATAATTTCTAGTTGTGTTCACTAAGCAAATACATTGCTGACTTTTTAAAATGTTACTACTGAAGACCTTGCCCTCCAAAGTAACAGCTCACAAACGTTTGCTGGATGTACGATACTCATGTTTGTTTTCATGACTAGTGTCACTCACTTGATACAGCCTCATGATAAGTAGGCTCCCCTGTAAAAATATTTAAAGAAATGCATGTGCAATACATTGGACAAACCTAAACTATTAAAGTACACCCATACGGATTCATGTAGCATTATCTGTCACCACCCTGATAAATCAGTGGCGAGACCCTTCATAACGGCAGGACACAACAGTGACTAAATCACAGTCACAAGCTTTGTGGAAGACATCATGGATGTAAACAATCGACTAAGTATAGAAGAAAGTTGGAGTCAGAATTTGAGAACAACCTACCCAGAGGGCCTCAATGTTATCTCACGATGCCTAACATCAAAAAGACTCCTTTTATGAAAAACAAACTTAAAGGAAGGGATATCCGACTACTACACATCAGATACAGCAGAATCTACACAAACATAAGGAAGCTATGGAGACATGCACATACAACACCTGGACTCATATTTTGTACATTTTGTACAGGTGTAAAATGTGCAAATGCACATATGTAGACATTAAACACCTGTGTAAAGAACAGAAGTTTTCCAAGACCAAAACAAACTACAGGCAACCAAGCTGGGAATTTAATGTCCATATGAGGCACTTACTCAACAACAACTAGATGAGATAATATTCAGAAGAAAACTAACCAGCACAGTCAGACCGCCAAATAAAACGCAGACCCATACTGGGCCCAGGGCTCTCGCACCCCATTTTGGGACTGGGGCCCGGGGCCCTTAGAATTGGGAAAAATAATGGTGTTTTCCTTAGAATTGAGAAAACTTGGGGTCTAAATTGGGAAAAAAAGTTACTATTATGCATTGGGAATGGGGCCGAATATCGGTCCTAAATCTGGCAGATCGAGAGCCTCGGGGCCAAATAATTATAATGTTAAAGGAAGACTTAGCAGGTTTGACGGGGACAACACCGTGTTGATCACCTAACTTATTAGAAGCAGAGGTTGTAGATGACAAGGCATTGAGATATCAAGCAGAATTGACATCCATGTTATGCTTTGGTTAAGATTTCAACTTAGTCTTGAACAATTGAAGTCTATATTTTGATTGAAAATTATGAAACCTTTTCGTAAACAATACGGCGATTCATTTTATGTCATGTACGTCTGATTAGCCAGAAGGAAAAATAGCATGTTACTGTATATCTTAAATATCATGTTATCATATCATATCATCTGTTAGCTTAAAATGTACTATACCGTAATTGTTAATAAACAGCTTAAAACAAAGGACTTTGTCACATGGTGTGATGTCATAATGAACAGTACAAATGTGCCCAGAATTTAAGTACTTCGAGGGTAAAGTTTCCCCTCCTTGATGAAGCCTAAGTATGAGTGAACCCTGTTAACATGTCATAATAAAGCAAAAAAAACACTTCCTATGCCTGTTACGATTGATTATTTCTCTTAGTTTTCTCTATTCTTCAAGGGATACAATAAACCAACATAATTCACACTAAAAGTAACAGCATTGGTCCTACATTTGGTTCAAAACAACTTCCGGTATATTTTTAATTTTTTACGGAAAGTAACACAAGTAAGAACACAATTTTATACCACAAGGCCTTTGGTTTGTTCTTTTTGAGCAGGTAATGGTCAGTTTATCATCCAGGCCATCAATCAAGGTCAAGCTGGTCAGATGACAACACTTGCTGCTGCCCAGCAGGTCGGAGGTCAACCTGTCACCACTATCCCTACTGTTGTACAGACATCATCCCAGGTATAATTTCCTGATAATAGTCCAAAATTTCACTGACAAATTTATGTTGACTGGGGTATATACAGTAATTCTTAATATTTTCCTGATTTCAAGCTGAAACTTTTTTTCTCTGGGTTGGCCATACTGCTTATATACCGATGGGGCTCATATGGGGTGAAAAAAAATGGCAAGATGGAAGGAAAAAAAGGCATACCAGTACTGTGTTTTTAAGAGTATCTGTCCTCCATGTTGATTTAATTAATCTCCCCATTTAAGATGAATCCAAATTATATTTTCACAACTTCACAACAATTGCAAGAAGGTATAGTAGATGTTTAATATAGGCTATTTCCCCCAGGGGTCAATAGGTCATCACGAGGTCAAATACTGGAATGGTAACCATTTTTGTTTTACAATATGAATGGCTTTGTTTAACTTACAAGGAGAAATATTACAGGACTTTTAAGAATTTTGTCAGTGTGCAAGGCCCTCTGTTTGTAACAGTACAGACATAGATTGTTCAGTAAACTGTACATAACATCAGGCCTTACATCTGTATGTAGACAATCTATGAAGGTCTCAGGCCAAACAAGTCCAATATTTGCTATTTTATGTATTTCTTAATGACCTGATTAATTTTAGAAATACAGCAACAGAAAAAAGGATTATTTGTGCATAATTCATTTGCAAACCTTATCTTTAACTTATGATAATTGCCTTCTGTAATCTGTCATAGCAAAAACTTTGAACAATATAGTGGTTACCGTATCATAGGAAGGGTGTGGCTTACAATTTTTTTGGCTAATATGTAGATCGAATTGAAATTTTTTTTTTTATGAAAATTGGCTCTTCAGTCTACATACTGATGCAACATATAGCCGGGAAAAATGATAATTTTATTTATTCTTTTCTATTCTATTTTGCTTTTCAGCAACTGGTGTCTCCTTTTTGTGCTTTAGATCAATCTCTGATTAAAGGATTAAATTTTCTGTGATGATTTTTTTTTGTTTTCTTGTATTACAGAATCCACAAAATATACTCCAACTGGATGGGGCAAATGATACAAGCTCCTCAGAAGAGGATGATTTTGACAATGATGATGATGAGGAAGAAAATGAAGATGAAAATAAAGATGAAGAGAATGATGAACCCGGTGAGGAAGAGGTGAGTGCTGCATACATCAAAGATAATAAACCCGATGTGATCACTTGAGCAGATAAGATAGTTATATCAGTGTATATTAGAAACTAAGTTGAGGCCTGTGTACTAATGATTGAATGTACACTGTATCGCTGTATTGATATTAATTGTTAACATATTTATGTCATTGGTGATAAGACAGATACAAAAACACAATTTGCACAATATCAGGTGTTGATGATCAAATTTTTGTAGCCAAAAGTTTTCTTCATTGATAAGTAACAAGTTATCCTCTTGTCAACTTAACATCAGTATCTATCCATTTGTGTAAAGAAATGCCTGTGTAAGGAGAGATAACTCCAAATATATTTGAAGCAATGCCTGAAAAAAATGCATAATGTGGGCAGGAATTTTTTTAGTTGAAAATACTGAAAAATGCCTCTACTTGCATAATGTGCGCACCCAAGAATTCAGTCAAAATGATTTCTGTGAGCCAAGAAATCAATATCAAAACGTTAAGTGAACAGGTCAGTCCAGAACTTGTAGCATTTGCTATTGATATTTACCTTCTTCGTTTTGATGATAGGTACAATATGATCGAAGAAAATCAATCTGCTTCATGCCTGTGTACTTCTTGTTGTTTGATGTCTGTTTTATTGCTCTGTATCATACGCCAATTTAATTAACCCAAATTTATTTATCTTGCATACACAAACACTTGTCTTCACACTAGGCCTAATAAAAAATGTTCAGTGTTGAAATTAGGGGTACAAGTCATTATCTATTAATGACCAAACCAGGTGATTAAGATCTCCCTGAGTTTTCTTTTATGTCTTGCTGTCACACATGCCCGTGGCATCAGACATAAATAGAGGCTCCAACTCTGTTATATGCAAGCAATTGGTATACACAGCATTGAATGTACTGTTTGTGCACATCCCCAACAAGGACCTTTGTTTTCCCCCATTGATGATTGTTTTGGTTAGATCAACAACCAATCCTGGTGTTTTAATCAATTCTCACCTATTATTTGTATGTCATTGAAAAACGAAACCTGATTCCACATTGCTTATGAAGTCTTTCTTATTTATATCAACCTCAGTAACTATCACGCATATATGTCATTTACACATTGTTTAGCATTGTGCGTTTCTGCCTGGTGTTACATCAATTTGCTAGAACTGATAAGTAGTTGAGAAGTAGGCAGTAAGTGAATGACTTTCATTTCAACAGGAACCGCTGAACTCTGAAGATGATGTCAGCGACGAGGATCCTATAGAACTGTTTGATACAGAAAATGTGGTGGTGTGTCAGTATGACAAAGTAAGTGCATTGTTAGATCATAAATCTATAGCATTCCCAGTGTTGTAAAAACACACAGGAGCTTGCAAGGAAAGGATTTTTAAACAGAGATCATTTCAACTAGATTAATTATGATATCAACCGTCTTATTACAAAAAGGAATCAGCTTTTTACATGTCTTAAGTTATGATTATGTTGATGTCTTTTAACGAAAAATTTTGCTTTTCAGATTAACAGAAACAAAAACAAATGGAAGTTTCACCTTAAAGATGGTATCATGAATCTCAATGGCAAAGACTATGTGTTCCAAAAAGCTACTGGTGATGCGGAATGGTGACCTGGAAATAGAGTTTTGAGGACTGTAACTGTTCCAGACTTGCATGTCATAGTGATATCCAGTCTCCGGCCTAGGATACTTGTGACCTAATGTATCAATTCACAGAGCTGAGCTCATGTGGTGACTTTTGGCTAAGTATACCTCGGGAGGATGTTCAGTAGACTTGTCACTGAGATTGTGACAGCGGCCATTCGTAAGGTGCTATGAGAGGATAGAGGGACAAAAAAGTCACACTACTTGTGTATGTAGGAGAAAGTCCCTTCCATGGTATTACACCTGAATGTACTAATGTCAGCTTTATTTCAAAGAGAGACATTTATGGTTGTGTTCAACACGATTCAATTCCTGTAATTTACTTTTGTACTTCGGAGGAGTTGTCATTGTGTTTGGAGCAACTATCTGTTAAAAATCACAGATTTTATATGCATGTTTTTTCACGTCTGTTTAGAAGGGAATGCTGACCTGGTCTTAGATATTTGCAGATTTTTTGTATGTAGTCCTAGTTAGTGTTTTGTGATATTTATTGTCTTTTTTTTAATTTTTTTTAATAGATACATATATATATCAACCAAACTTCATGTACATTTCCAAAGTTGCTCTTTTCATTTACAATCCAATTGAGGCTTTTTAGTTGACCATATATTTTTGCAAAGACCTTCACATATTGCTGGAATACTTGTTGAAGGGCTAAGTTTTAGATGCCAGCTGTCTTGTTGCTTTGGCCAAATGAATATTTCTCATGGTGTCGTTTAGAGTAAATCAAGCTACCCTTAATCATTGAGCTGATCAGTTTAATTTTTTTTATTTTTAGTACATTTTAGCAAGCTGAAAATTACAACTGAAATTGCCAATAAATGCAACAATTTTGGTAGCCATTTTTGAATTTAGATGAAATTTTCCTTATTATTGATATTGTTTGAGTTGATACACAACTTTGGAATATATTGAACATTGAAATATTTTAAAACCAAGAGTGAAACAAAAGTAGTGTTGACTTAATCTTTGCCTAGCTGAATCTCCTTCAACACTATCACTAGTAATCTGGAATCAAAGCTGACAATACATCAGACAATCATACAATACAAGCATTCATGTAGATTTTATAATTAATGTACTACACAATGTATTGTTTTATTTTAAAAAGTGTAATAGAGGATTGATGTTCAGCCACCTGTGTCTGGAACATAAACAACTTCAGAAAAAAATTCAGTCCACTATGCATTTTACAAAAAAGTTACCAATTTTGCTTGTTCAAGGCAAGTCTCTGTAAAATGGCAGTATGTCATTTCTAAATATAGATGTTCAAAGCACTAGCCAATAGGCTGACTCTTGGGACTTCGAATTGATGGATCTATATTTGAACTGAATGTCCTACTTCCATCTACAGAGATGGATTGACCAATTGAGAAATATGCACCAAGAAAGAGTGAAATTTCACATTAAACTTTTGTTTGGTGCATAGTGGCCTTTTTTTCCTGTTTGACTTGTTTAAGTTCCAGACACTGGTGCCTGTGAATTTGATATTTGGTGTGCTGAAAGAATCCAGGCATGTCTACCTCAACAGAGGTTACCTGGACAAGGTTGGAAGACACAATCCCTCAGAGGAAATTTCTTGTCCTGGTCAGATTGCCAGGGTCACAAAAGAAGTTTTTTTTATGTGAAGTTGACATGGTTGTCTTAGTACGTCATGTTTAAGTAAGGATATGGGGTATATAAAACCTGGCAAAATTTTTTGAAACTTTAAGAGTTATTTCCCTTTGGCCATCGGCTGGTTGGAGAGGTTTTCTTAAGATTTTCACGTGTACAGGATAGCAAGTGTCTTCAGGGTTTTGGAGTAGCTGAGGAATCTCTTGCTGTTGGGGAGTTGAGTGTATTTTATGATGCAATACACTCACAGACTGAGAAGAAACTGCTAATGGAAAAGGAAATTTATCAGAAAACTGTACCTGCTTTCAGAAGAAAATGTGAAAGTAATGATGTCCATTTCAGTCTTTGATACATCATTTGTTTCATAACAACTGAGAAACAAAATTTTGTCTAAGAAACAGTCGGAGTATACATTAATCAATATTGTTACTTAGACCCAACCATGGGTTTAATTCTGTAAAGTGACATATACTTTTTGTATATGTGTGAATACATCTGTTACATTTTTGATACTGTTATTATGATACAGAGTTCATTTGTAGGTTATTCTTAATATTTTTCATACTTACAAGCATGAAATCACAGCAGAAATGAAAATTTGTGATTGAAAGTAAATGGTGGAGATTATAAACCATTAGTATCACAGTTTGATCCAGTGGTCTGGGCCTACAGTATATTCTGGACATTTGAAATATGAGTTTGTGGTGTACTTTATATTAGAACATCAAAAAAGAAACGGGAGAGAGAAAAAAATTACCAAAATAAGTGAATTGAAAAATGAGAGAGGATGGATAAGAGATTGCTGTCTGTTTTTAAAGATTAACAGGTTATTGAATGTTCTGATACAACTTATCACACAAGATTAAAACTTAACACTTTTACATTTTCACTTAATACAATGTAATTTATCATATCAGACTGATGCAAAGGCAAGGCTTATAGGACTGGCGTGTGATTGAAAGAAAATAGATAACATTCTGACTTCTGTATTATCGATCATGATGTCCAACAGATACAACTATGTTACGGTTTTGATTTCATCATCCAGAAAATATTAAAAGGGTTCTGTATAGACTTATTATTGCAGGGAAGATATTTACGACCATTTTTTTTTCATAAGATAATGAGATACAAGTGAATTCAATGTCCAGTAAAATAAAAATCGGGAAATTTTAATTTAGTAAAATAAAATATGATTTGAAATGAAATTCACAAAAAAAAAAAAAAAACTGACTCATGAAAATAACCAGCAATACTTTTTATCATATGTAAATATAATATCTCATATTTTCACATTGAAATCCAGGATGCATGCATTTCTTTACTATGCACAGAGATGCAAATTCTTCATTGAAATATTCCTGTATACAAGTTTACCTAGATACTGATTTGCTGAATCAGTAAAATACACACTGAAATATTTCTCAGGAGTACTCACTTTTCACCTACATGTCAGCATGCCCTGAAAAATGCATATCTGTAGCTCTCTGTCAATCTGTTACTTTATTGTAATATTGAGACAATGGTACTTTTACCTGTAGTATTTGTTCTTGGTATTTTGTTATCTTTATTCAGCAAGGCAAACGTCTGAAAGAATTATTTGATATATTTTTAATGTGTTGAAAAATCACCTTTTTCTTGCAAAACTTCGTAAGCACATTCACTACTTCTCTGGTAAAAGAAATTTAATGAAATAGTCGCCCTATTTCTCTAAAAGTTGCATTTACCACACATATTACTCCCGATTTACAAGAAATATATGATTTTTTGATACTTACAGAAAAAGTACAAGAAGGCACAAAAATTTGGGAACTGTAGGCCTTAACCGTTTTATCACCCTGTACGATACTTGAGTATGTTGGACATTTTTCTATATTCCGAGTAAAAAGTTATTTAACATTAGCATTAACTTAATATGAATTGGCTGAATACAGTTTTTATATACTGGATTTTTTTCATGTCAGTTCGTACCGATGACTAGCTCTTGTCGTTGTGATTTTTTTGTTTACTGATATAATATTCAAGAAATCTGGATTTTCTATACATATTTTTGACAGTTGTTAAAGGTAAATTTTGCAATTGAGTAAGATGTTTTTGATGATTTGTAGTCAGAGATTCATTCCAAAACCTGACGGAACTGTTTCGTGATGTTTGAAAAATATGTAGTTAGCTGTTTACATTAATTTCTAGTCGAGGTAGTTGGAGTCGGGTGAAGGGAATGTGTGATGGAGGTTGTTTCGTGGTATTTCATGTTTGTTATGAAAGATCATCGAATGAGAACCTGATGTACATAATAATAAGATAAAAAAATGATTATATTTTATTGAAAACCTGAATATCCATACAAGGTGGTGCATTTTATGTATAGACAGGTTTCGTGGAGGCATGTTTCCTTAAATTATGTCACAGTGTTTTGACATGTGATCAAGACTTAGTGTCTTGTGAACAGGAATCCTTTTTGGTTGTGTGAACACTTAGTGTTCACAGCAATATTTCTTATCATGATCAGCATAACAGGATAAGCATTATTTTTCATTTTGACAAGGTGAATAACCCTGTTTCATGGTGGAGAATTAAGGCACTGTGTTTCAGGGTGTTCACCAGTAATAACAAACCCGCCCCTTTTTTTTTGGTGTGAATGAATGTAGGTAAGCCATTTTAAAGGTCTGGATAGATGTTAAGAGACCTGCCCTGTTAATCTAACCTATATGGCAGGAGTGCTGTCAGGGGTATTAGGTCACTTGTGAGATGCTACATGAATGTGTGGTGTGAGAGAGAATTAGTGAGGAGTTATGATGATTATATGATGTGTAAACATTAATATTATTTTTGAAGTAATTTTCCTTATGTGATCATGGTTGATATGTATACCTTTCATGGGGAAAATAAAATGTATAAGAGTTAAGTGTTTTCTTTGTGTTTAAGTCACCTGAGACAACATACAGGTAACCTATTGTGGTTTTTTATTGTCAGTCATGGTCTGTCTGTCCATAAACATTGGACATTTTTATTTTTTCTCTCAGAAATTCCTGAACCAATTTTGTTGAAAATTTGCAGTAATTTTTCATGGCCAAAGGTTAACCAGTTGTGAATTATATGCTTCTCAACCTAAGGGGCGTGAGAGGCAGTGCTGAAATAGGTCAAATTGACTTGGATGAGACTGATCAGAAAAACAGAACGCGGACAGACAGACATCTTTGATTTTTACTTTGAAAGTTTGTTATCACTATTTCTTGAGAACTACTGTATAGATCTTTCTCAAATTTCATGTCAAGGATTCTTAAGGTCCCTTGTTGTGCCAATTGGGGTTTGAGACTGATCAGAAAAAAATGGCCAACAGGCAGCCATCTTGGATTTTGCCTAGTAAAGAGTGTTATTGCTATTTCTGAATAAGTACTAAATGGATATCTCAAATTTCAAACGTGTGTTCCATTTGGTTTCCTTGTGATCGTTTGCTTTTGGGACTGATCAGAGGAAACAAAATGACTTCCAGGTGGCCATTTTGGATTTGGCAGGTATAGATTATCATTAATTTCTGCAAAGGAATGTTCAAATTTCATCATTAAGAGAAAAAAAAAAAAAACAGAGAAAAGAAGGGAAAAGATCCAACTTTTAAAGAGCATATAAAGATCAAACAATGGTGGGTGCCAAGATCCCTATGGGATCTCTTGTTTTAAATCTAATAACTTATCAATAACCAACAGCACTTGAATTCTGATATTTGGCAAAAATTGCCTTGGTATAAAGCCCAACAAAGTTTGCCTTAAGAAAATACCTTGATCATACCCTGTCAGTGGTCAAATTTATTCAAACTTCCATACCGACTTCTCAATAACCAAAAGGCTTGGAATCAAAATATTTACTCTATGCGTTTTTGATATAAGCTTGACAAAATTTACCAAAAGAAATTACCTTGAACCATATTCATTTTCACATGGGTCAATTTTGTAAAAGCTTTAAAAGACTGCTCTCTGAGTATGTAATTATATTAAGCTGGTAGGTTTCTATGATGAATCGCAACAAATCTTCCAAAAAGGAATTACATTGACTCAAGTTTAATTTCACTAGTGCCAAATTAAAGATAATGATATGATAACAATTTCAACCAATTCCTTTCTGTAAGCAAAATGCTTGAAATCATGATATTTTGGTGAAAGGATTCTGGGAGAAGCCCCACAAAGTTTGTGAAAAGGAATGACCTTGACTGATATTCAATGTTACGGGAGTCAAATTTCCTAAAAACCTCACTGGCTGAGCCCCAGGACTGAAGATAGGATAAAATGGGGCCAAATTGACTACAATTAAAAAAAAAACAACTCCATATTCAGATAAGGTAGAATCAAATTATTTTCATGGATGGAAGGGTCTTGAGGTGCTTCTTGGTGAAATTGGAGCAAAATTTCTTTTAATAGAAGAAAAACTTGGGTTATACTTTCGGGACAAAATTATGCAATGAATATTCATGTTGTACCCATATAATACATAGGAAGTAATAGATTGAAAGTATGTTAGATCTTGACCGTCACATAGTACATGCGAACAGACTGATAGATATCTAAACATTCAATGTTACAGTATATAAATATCACACAGAGATATCCAGACTAATCAGGTTCTATTGTACACTTAGGCCAAAATATCCAGTCTAAAGAGGTTCTACTGTACACATAGGCCAAAATATCCAGTCTAAAGAGGTTCTACTGTACACTTAGGCCAAAATATCCTGACTAAAGAAGTTCTACTGTACACTTAGGCCAAAAATACATTGACTAATAAAGTTCTATTGTACACTTAGGCCAAAATACCCTGACTAAAGACGTTCTACTGTACACTTAGGCCAAAATACCCTGACTAAAGACGTTCTACTGTACATTTAGGCCAAAATATCCAGTCTAAAGAGGTTATACTGTACACATAGGCCAAAATATCCAGTCTAAAGGGGTTCTACTGTACACATAGGCCAAAATATCCAGTCTAAAGGGGTTCTACTGTACACATAGGCCAAAATATCCAGTCTAAAGGGGTTCTACTGTACACATAGGCCAAAATATCCAGTCTAAAGAGGTTATAATGTACACATAGGCCCACATAGGCCAAAATATCCAGTCTAAAGAGGTTATACTGTACACATAGGCCAAAATATCCAGACTAAAGGGGTTCTACTGTACACATAGGCCAAAATATCCAGTCTAAAGGGGTTCTACTGTACACATAGGCCAAAATATCCAGTCTAAAGGGGTTCTACTGTACACATAGGCCAAAATATCCAGTCTAAAGGGGTTCTACTGTACACATAGGCCAAAATATCCAGTCTAAAGAGGTTCTACTGTACACATAGGCCAAAATATCCAGTCTAAAGGGGTTCTACTGTACACATAGGCCAAAATATCCAGTCTAAAGGGGTTCTACTGTACACATAGGCCAAAATATCCAGTCTAAAGGGGTTCTACTGTACACATAGGCCAAAATATCCAGTCTAAAGGGGTTCTACTGTACACATAGGCCAAAATATCCAGACTAAAGGGGTTCTACTGTACACATAGGCCAAAATATCCAGACTAAAGAAGTTCTACTGTACACTTAGGCCAAAATATCCAGTCTAAAGAGGTTCTACTGTACACATAGGCCAAAATATCCAGTCTAAAGAGGTTCTACTGTACATTTAGGCCAAAATATCCAGTCTAAAGAGGTTATACTGTACACATAGGCCAAAATATCCAGACTAAAGGGGTTCTACTGTACACATAGGCCAAAATATCCAGACTAAAGAAGTTCTACTGTACACTTAGGCCAAAATATCCAGTCTAAAGAGGTTCTACTGTACACATAGGCCAAAATATCCAGTCTAAAGAGGTTCTACTGTACACTTAGGCCAAAATATCCTGACTAAAGAAGTTCTACTGTACACTTAGGCCAAAAATACATTGACTAATAAAGTTCTATTGTACACTTAGGCCAAAATACCCTGACTAAAGACGTTCTACTGAACACTTAGGCCAAAAATACATTGACTAATAAAGTTCTATTGTACACTTAGGCCAAAATATCCTGACTGAAGAGGTTCAACTGTACACTTAGGCCAAAATATCCAGACTAAAGAGGTTCAACTGTACACTTAGGCCAAAATATCCAGACTAAAGAGGTTCAACTGTACACTTAGGCCAAAATATCCTGACTGAAGAGGTTCTTCTGTACACTTAGGCCAAAATATCCAGACTAAAGAGGTTCAACTGTACACTTAGGCCAAAATATCCAGACTAAAGAGGTTCAACTGTACACTTAGGCCAAAATATCCAGACTAAAGAGGTTCAACTGTACACTTAGGCCAAAATATCCAGACTGAAGAAGTTCTACTGTATACTTAGGCCAAAATATCCTGACTGAAGAAGTTCTACTGTATACTTAGGCCAAAATATCCAGACTGAAGAAGTTCTACTGTACACTTAGGCCAAAATATCCTGACTGAAGAAGTTCTACTGTATACTTAGGCCAAAATATCCTGACTGAAGTTCTACTGTACACTTAGGCCAAAATATCCTGACTGAAGAAGTTCTACTGTATAATTAGGCCAAAATATCCAGACTAATAAGGTTATACTGTACACTTAGGCCAAACTATCCTGACTAAAGAAGTTCTACTGTACACTTAGGCCAAAATATCCAGACTAAATTGGCACTACTGTTTATACACCTAGACCAAAATATCCTGACTATAGAAGTTCTGCTGTACACGTTCACCAGATTAAAACGGCTTTAAGTGCATTTAGATCAAATACCTAGACTAACGTATAACGTGGTTCTACTTTACATATCGACTGAAATATATAGACAAAAGAGGTTGAAACTGGACACATTATCCGGAATACAACAACAGATCAGGATTCGGAACTTATAAACTTATAAATGTTCGGATGAACGGAGATCCATTCATCATTTTCTGTTATAAAATTATTCATATTAAAGACAAACAACATGGGCTGTGAACGAGCAGGTTAATTATATACATATATATATATTAATTTTGTTTTGAGAACGATATTCTAAATTAAAAACTTTTTTATACCTGGAAGTTCACGAACACTCATACTTCCTATATCTGCAAATGGAATTACAGATAATGATGATGATAAAAAAATCCTTCTGTGATGAATCAATGACACAACTGTTATTTTGTAACAATACCGATTGTCTGGGCTGTTCATTAATCAGGAGGAACCGCTGATTAAACCAAGCATTCGGAAGAAGTGATTTTCACAGGAAGTGGATCAGTGTGTAGTGAATTACTTTTCTAATTACTGAAAAGGCTAAATCTGTGTGTTAGAGAATGAGTTGGCCTGAATCAGTGTGTGGCATTTCTATCCTCTGACCCAATTAACAAAGTACATGTGATTTTCCTCGACAAGTTATATACATTTAATGTATTAATGGTAGAAAATCAGGTGGAGGCGAAATTTCGACCGGACTAAGCGGTCATTGATCTACCAAATACATATATTTACAAGTAAATTCTTTAGGGAAAATTATCAATTCAGTATCTGGTATATCTCCTTATCGCTTTGTAGATTAATATTTTGAAGTGTATCGCCCTATCGCCACTTCCTTTCGTCGACGTCGTTAACCCCCCACCTTCTTCCCTCCTTCTCCTTCGTTATCCTTCTCTCCTCTACACTATCCCATGTCATTCCATTGGAAGTACAACACTGACACGATAATTCGTCCAGTACTGGCCCGAACAACATGTCAGATGCCCCTGATAGGAATTATCTGATGGCCCATTAGCATGATCAGTACTAATAAGATCGTGCCTGCCCACATCAGTCAGTACCATCGTATGTAACCTTCCAACCTGCTTTTGTTTGTACAGGTCAGGCACTTCGGATTGGTCTGGTACCTTAGATACTTCTGCCTTGACATCGAGATCCTGTTGGAGAGGGTTTTTTTAACAATTCTGCTGAGACCATCTGTCTCAGACTTTTGGTTAGACTATCGTTTAAGACTGTCTGTCGGTCATGATTTCAACTCTACCATCACACAGAAACCTCAGGTTTGAGTGTTTCCACAGATAACACGAGTTAGACTGTCTTTACCTATACGTCCAGTTGGACCGTCACCTTATACATCAGCTCCAATGCCCACAGACACGTCCAGTTGGACTGTCACCCACCCAATACATCAGCTCCACCGTTCCACAGACACGTCCAGCTGAACCGTCACCTTATACATCAGCTCCACCGTCCAACAGACACGTCCAGTTGGACTGTCAACCACCCAAGACGTCAGCTCTTCCGTCCCACAGACACGTCCAGTTGGACCGTCACCTTTAACATCAGCTCCACCGTCCCACAGACACGTCCAGTTGGACCGTCACCTTATACGTCAGCTCCACCGTCCCACAGACACGTCCAGTTGGACTGTCACCTTGTACATCAGCTCCACCGTCCCACAGACACGTTCAGTTGGACTGACACCTTATACATCAGCTCCACCGTCCCACAGTCACGTCCAGTTGGATCGTCAACCAATACATCAGCTCCACCGTCCCACAGACACATCCAGTCCGTCAACCAATACATAAGCTCCACCGTCCTACAGACACGTCCAGCTGGACCGTCACCTTATAAATCAGCTCCACCGTCCAACAGACACGTCCAGTTGGACTGTCAACCACCCAAGACGTCAGCTCTTCCGTCCCACAGACACGTCCAGTTGGACCGTCACCTTTAACATCAGCTCCACCGTCCCACAGACACGTCCAGTTGGACTGTCACCTTATACATCAGCTCCACCGTCCCACAGACACGTCCAATTGGACCGTCACCTTATACGTCAGCTGCACCGTCCCACAGACACGTCCAGTTGGACTGTCACCTTATACATCAGCTCCACCGTCCCACAGACACGTTCAGTTGGACCGTCAACCAATACACCAGCTCCACCGTCCCACAGACACGTCCAATTGGACTGTCACCTTATACATCAGCTTCACCGTCCCACAGACACGTCCAGTTGGACCGTCACCTTATACATCAGCTCCACCGTCCCACAGACACGTCCAGTTGGACCGTCACCCACCCAATACGTCAGCTCCACCGTCCCACAGACACGTCCAATTTGATCATCATCCAAGACCACAGCTCTATCTTCTCCGAATGCATTTCTGGTTTAATTATCTCCACATATATCTCCAGTCATATGTTTTTCATAGACACCTCCAGTTGGACTCCTGGTTAAATACCATTTCTACAGACTCTTGGTTAGGCCGTCTATATAGACATATCTAGGTATACAATACCCCAGGACTTCAGTTAAACCGTCTCCAAAGACTTCAGCTATACCGTCTTCCAAGATTTCAGCTATTCCGTCACCCCCTACATCCCTGATTAGGCTATCCCAAGGCTCACCCCCAGGACTGAAGGTAGGGTAAAAAGGGGCCAAATTGATTACAATTAAAAATAACTCAGTTTTCAGATAAGGTAGAATCAAATGATTTTCATGAATGGGTGGAAGGTCTTGAGGTGCTCTCAAGGGACTCGGCACCCCTGGTCAGAGAGTCTCCGTAGACAACTAGGATTTATCCTTTCTATAGACACCTCCGTTTAAACCGTCTCACTTGACTGGTCAGACAGTCTCCGTAGACAAATATAATTATCCTTTCTATAGACACCTCCGTTTAAACCGTCTCACTTGACTGGTCATACAATTTCCGTAGACAACTATGATTTACCCTTTCTTTAGACACCACCGTTTAAACCGTCTCACTTCACTGGTCAGACAGTCTTCGTAGATAAGAGTTATCCTTTTTCTAGACACCTCCGTTTAAACTGTCTTCCTTGACTAACCTGGTTAGATAGTCTTCGTAGATAAGAGTTATCCTTTTTCTAGACACCTCCGTTTAAACTGTCTTCCTTGACTAACCTGGTTAGATAGTCTTCGTAAATAGCTATGGTTGATCGTTTATTTAAGGGTCTCACTTGACTGGTTAGACAGTTGTCGGCATTTTACCGAGTCCATATAGGATGTAGGACGTTTTATTAGACTGACGCGTTCAGAAAGTGGCAATGTTGATCGGTCTTCTGCCTTAGCACCACCAACTAAACTGATAGAATGTTTGATACGTGAATGAAACACAAACAAAGCAGACTTCACAACAATGTAATTTTTAATTTCTATTGATAATGCAAAAAAATAAATAACATCCTTACGAAATAAAAGGCAACCATTGTTGAATACAAATTCATGACAACGAGGCTACAATCTCCCTCATATCTCATTCGAAGTTTATCTCTCTTTTTTTTTTGCAATATAAAGTTGAATGAGCTCCCTAATTTAAAGAATAAAAAAGATAAAACCGGAAATTTAGTGGAACAGAACACGAAACATGTTTGTTGATTATAAGGGATAAAAAGAAAAAAATACACAAAAGGCTACAAAGGCGCTAGTTAGATCAATTACAGTTAATGTCGGTGATAGCAATACCGGGGCACATTACTGCGGTAGTAGTCCCAAGTCTTAATTAAACAGCCAAATAATCACGACGCAGATTCCTGTACGATGGTACTTGGTTTTCAAGTCCAAAAGCTACCGGTACGTTTTCTTCCTGTTATTTTGACACTGTGTTATCTGATAACGATATACATGTACATAAAAGGTAAAACATATATAAGGTGAATGTCGTTTTGACACGAATCGGAATCAGATGTAAAAATCTACTTTGGAGAGCAAGTGCGCGCGACTCCAAAGCCGGGGCATGGATGGAGGAGATTGAGAAGATAACAAGAGTAATGAAAAAAATCCATGAAATTGGTGACTGAGCTCTTTTGTTAGTTTGTGGGCTGGTTGGTTTTGCGTTTGTTTATAGCCCCGTGTATAGCTAGAAGTAGGTGATGACTACCGCACTGAACATGATGCGAAAGGCACGCCACATGCTATCCTGAGCAATAGGTATAAAGTGCCGTACCCAAGGACATAACCACAATAGATATTCCATAGAAATGTGACGGTACGCATTTTGGCTCCTACAGAGCTACCAATTACAGGAAACAGCAAAAATATCACGACAATTTTGGTTTGAGGAGGTGTGGCTTTTGTAAACAGGTTGAACTGTATACATCATTGTATTTACTACAGGACCTTAAAGAGAATTTATAGAGAATATTTGTGTATAGATATTTTATTTTCAAAAAAATATTGATTTTTGGTACTTTGCTTCAGGTCGTTACTACTATTGTGAAAAAGTTACATGTATCGTGGCATTTTCAATGTTGCTATCAGCTTTAATTACATTGCTTGTCTGTAGGATTGAAATATCACACCTGTTTACAAATATCGCACCTGTCTACATTCAAATATTTCTTATCTGGTGTGAATTACTCGGAAATCAATAATGGCGTACTTAATTAATCACCTCTGTCAGGTATATCGGGTTGTATAATTTACGGTATTACACGTACCTGTTATAAGCCCACTCTGTAATATTTATCAGATTAAGAATTAATCTTAATACAGTTCTTACGTGTGTATAATACTGGTTTAGCTATCCAGGACATTCGCGCACTCCCAGAATGCACCTCGGTTGTTTATGATATCCGATCTGCTATTTTTTCGCGTTTTACGTAAAGAGTAAAATTTGATTATTTCTTTTTTTTTATTTTTCTCTGTGAATATTGTGTTCCATAGTTATTGGTATATTGATTAGCCACCTAATTATCGTTTCCAATCTTTGTGATTTATGCACTAAAGAGCAATCCATATTCACACTTGCTGTTTATAGGATAACATGTACTTTTTATCAATGGTTGATTTTCTAACGTTTTTTTTACGCGAGTCGACTGGACTATAATCCATTTCATTTCTCTGTTTGAATATTTGTTGTTAGATCTTCAAACAACATGTTTCTTTTTTATTTTCATTTTTATAGGATAACAGAAAAAATATTTGACAGATGATCAATATCGCAATTTGTGGTGACGTCATGGAATCACGTTCTCATTTCAGTCATTCATGTGGTAGATTATGAAACGAAATAATGAATAAGTGTAATTTAAAAAAAACAAGCCTTACTACCTTACCAATATGTTGTATAGATTATGTACTTTTCAATTGTTGCTATGGTGACACGGCATAATGAATATTCTATTTTCGAGATATAGATCGTCAAGGTCATGTTTGTACCGTACGTTATTGCGTGTCATTTACAGAGTCTTACCAATACACAAAGGAAACATTAGTCCCTGACGTCATCATACAGGGTCAGTATCTTGTCCATAGCGCGCGTGCACGAGAGGGGGAAAGAGTCAAGTAATTGCTTTATGTAGTGTTATTTATTTCCGCTTAATTATGGGTGTTGCCCACTACTTAACACTATGAGAATATGTGTCTATTAGACACAGGGCGGTCTGCACGCTAAGTCGTGTTATATACAGTGTGAGGGATTTCACGGAGCACAACAGCTAATATTACTCCTGTACAATATACGATGTACCTCGCGCTCTTGGCACGCGCTGCCGCTGGATGGCCGCTTGTCAGTTTCATTCAAGATGTGCGCGCATTGCTGCGTCCGGAACAAATTAAAGTTGGACTTCATCTGAAATTCACTTTCTTTGGCTGGAAAATGTAATTTGTATAAAAATGAATGTATAAATTGGTTAAGATATCGTAAGGAAAAAGAATGGCTTTGTCAACTATGTATAATTCCCAAAAGACTTTTTTCGAAGAGAAATATTTTTATTTCATTACCCGAGGAAATGATGTGATTTTACACTGCATAAAGTAGAGCAAAAATTGATTACGAAAGGAAAATGAAGTTGTCATTCGCCGGTTATTGGTAAGTATATAACTGTCATTTTTATCATTGAATAGCACACTTGTTGCATGTCACATGATGCCCCAAAAAAGGAATTTTCAAGCCAATACAATGAAATGTCGGTAACATATCTGAAATGCATTTTATACACATTCTCCCCTTTCTTATTTTCTTTCTGAATATTTGATGGAATTTAAGTACGGTGTGGGAATCTATGTGAACTTAGGATATAGAATAGATGCCACATCAAATGATTCTTTTATTAATAAATTATTCATTGGAAATTGAAAAGTGACGATTCTTGCACTTTTTCAATAAATGAATTGCTTTTTTTATGACTTGTGCTGACTGGTGTTATTCCAAAAATGGGTTCAGATGAGTATCACTGTAATTCTGGGACATGAAACCGTCTGTATGCAACTTAACGGGGGTGATTAACAATTGACTGTCGCTTTGTTCTTTCTGACAATCGCGATGAATTGTTGAAAATACGAAATACAGTTAACAGTGTATTTACTCTTTACGATAGATACTCATAAGATATTTAAAATAATTCGTATCGATTAAATTTTACTATATAAGGTCAAAGGTTAAGGTGGTATCTATCGACTTAGCAGCGGATGGATGGACGCGATAAAACTCACAGGTTACTTTCCACCTTCCTTTCAAATCGTTTGTCATTTTTAGTTTCAGAAGGACAATAATTAGTTCTTTGGCAGCCATATTATTCACAGTAATACAAATGAACTTGAAATGATAGCCTCAATTATCCTTTATTCGTGGTGTCAGATTGGCACCTAAAACTCTATGTAGCAAACGACGTGTGAATAAGGTTACGCGTCACTCCTGCAAAGATGGACACAGAAGACGAGGAATTTTACTTAAATAATTTTTTTTCATCTTCCTTTCACGGACTTTTTTC